ATGGGAGCAAAGACAGAGAGAAACAAAGAACAAAGATGGATGTAAGTTTGAATGAAAACATATAGCCTTAGATGAACATATTTATAGATAAACTTTGGTACGAGAGAGTAGCCTTGGGATCTTGAAAAGTCACTATCTCTTGGTCTACGTGAATGTCAAAAGGCATCTTTGTTTGGGAGGAGAGAAAGCTTGTTTGGAAGTATATGGGATGACTTGAATTAGAAGAGAATCTAATGCTAGGCATGACTGAGAAATCACTATCTCTTGGTCTGCGTGACTGAGAAGTCACTATCTTTTTGTCTACGTGAATGGAGAGGTCACCATCACTCGTAAAACGTGGTGAAACATTAAATAACTGAGAATCTAATTTTACCATTATAAATAACCATATTCGTGTTCATTTTCTTCATTCAACCCTCTAAGCTTGTTCCTTGTTCTTGTGAACTTTCTCCTTCTAAACTTATTCATCATTCACTTTCTTTAATCTAAAAATGTCTTCAATTTATGTCATTGTTCACTCTGATGGTGCCATTAACTAATGTCCTAATGAAGGAGTCACGTTCACCTCATTAGCAGCCAAATTGATACATCTAAAGAGAGGAGTGACTCTACAAAGGATCAAGAAAGTCATCCACACAAAACTCAACCGAGACGAAAATGAAAGGTGATAACCATACATTTTCGCTACCCAGTTAGACTTGGCTCGGGAGTTAGTAACTACATATGTGTTGAGTTGAACGATGATGAAGACGCCGAGGCACTCTTCAACATCCCCGATTCAAATCAGCTTCAATCAGGTATAGAATTATATGTTACATTTACTATAAATGTAATCCAGTCACCACAACTTTCACCTTCACCTTCACCTTACTAAACTTACGAAACCATAAATCCATCTTTTCCAACATATGATATGAATTTTGACCTTCAGTCCTACACACAACTTTTAACTGGTCCATTCATGGACCTCAATGAAATATCCTCCCAGCCATTTGAGCAAATCCTACCCTCTCAGCCTCTTGAAGAAACCCTCATTGAAGAACATGTTGTTGTGGGTCTCTCAATTAAAGTAGTTGATCCTTTTAGCGAGGATGAAGATGAAATCCTATCTCAACAGCAGGATGATAAAGAAGACTCCCTCCCACTTTCAAACATTCCACTATCACAACCATTACCATTATACAATCTATCGCCATATTTTCTAGACTTTTCTAGTCAAATACAAGAACATGACTCTGAGTTTGACCATGTATTTATTGTGAAATGGTAGTGTATCCACCTAGAACACTATTTGTTGGTCAACGCTTCCTAACAAAAGAACAAGTGCAAGACGCCATAAATAGATTTGACATTGTCAATCATTGCACTTACAAGGTGAAGATGTCAAGCACAACTAGGCTTGTCGTGGAATGCATTCACAACGACTGTGCCTGGAGATGTCGCGTTATATTGCGCACTAAAGAGCAACACTGAAAAATAATGAAGCTTGAAGGATGCCACACATGTGCTTCTCCACTTATTTCACAGGATCATAACAAGTTGGGATCACGAATAATTTCTCAAACCATTCGTGAAATTATTGAGATTGATCCATTTACACCCATTGCAACCATCTTAGCTCACATAAAGTCCACAATCGGTTACACAATCAACTATAGAAAGTGATGGTTGGGGAAACAACATGCTATTAAAAATATCTTCGAAAATCGGTTATCTAGACAATTGGTTGTAATGCAACTATATGTTCCGGGCTTCATCTAGAAATTGAGTTCACAACCGGCATACAAGGGTGACTTATTTGACGAGGGGAATGTGTTCTTCAAGAGGTTGTTTTAGACCTTCAAGCCATGCATTAACTGGATGGAATATTTTTGTATGACAAATATAAAGGGACTTTATTAGTGGCAGTTGCATAAGACGGCTGTAACAACATAATTCCCATTACCTTTGTTGTGGTTGAAGGTGAAACTAGTGATGCATTGTTCTTTTTTTTGAAAAACTTAAGAAGGTATGTAACCCCGTAAGAGGGATTGTGCCTCATTCCAGATCGTCACGAGGCCATAAAAAGTGCATACTCCAGAATGGAAGTGGTTAGACAGAAAAAAGTTTTGTCCATGTCTATTGCATTAGACATATTGCACAAAACTTCACGCGACGATTCAAAAATGCTGCACTAAAGAAAGATATCGTCAATATAGGTAATTTTAATTTTTTACGTACTCTATATTATCATTAATATTTTATACAATTGCTTAACTAGTTATATTAATTTAATTTGTAATTTTGTTTTCAACATATGAGATGATTGAACTGAGATTCTTTTACTATTATAACATAATAAAATATAATAATCCTAAAGCTGCACAATGGTTGGACAATATCTCAAGGGAAAAATGGACACTGGTATAGGACAATGGACGATGCTAGGGACATATGACAACAAACCTAGTGGAGTCAATCAATTCGGTCTTAAAGAAAACCAGAAACTTGCCAATTTGCTCCATAGTCATGGCAACATACACCCATTCCAATAAGTTCTTTATTGACAGAGGCAGGGAAGTATATGCAATGATTAATGCTGGCAATATGTACTCGAAGGTTGCAACTAAAGCAATTTAAGATGTACAGTCAAAGGCGAACACTCAGAGTCATTACTTTTGATAGAACAAGCACTAGATTTTTTGTCGAAAAAATGCAACATCTGATGGAAATTCAACCAGTAAAAAGATTTACAGTATGATTAGATGAAATGTGGTGTGATTGTGACATGTTTCAAAAAGTTCACATCCCATGCTCGCATGTACTTACTTCATGCTTACACACACATAACAACTTTGACATCTACATATCTCTTATGTATACCTTACAAGTTTCTAAGGTATACGAAGGTCAGTTTGGAGAACTCAGACACAGACTATTGGCCAAGTTACACGGGCTCAACTTTGTGTCCAAATTCAAAACTGAAAAGAATTTCAAAGGATTGACCCAAGTCTAGCAGGATAAGAACAGAGATGGACATTAGAGAATAACAAAATTGTGCAAAAAATTGTTTTTATTGTCACACTCCTGGTCACACAAGAAAAACATGTCCAAACATCACTCAAATTTCTAGTTCCCGCCGTTGATTTATGTTGTTGTTATTATTTTAAAATTTTCTTAATGTCATTTTTAATTTTATGAATATTATTGCAACTTTTAAAATTTTAGTATTTGTAATTTATATTAAATATATAATTATATATATAATATATCTACATAATATTATTTAATTATGTTTATTAATATTAATAACATATTTTTTAAATAAATAATTATATATAAATTTTAATAAAGATTAATATCTCAAAATAAATAAATAAATAAATAAGTTATTATTTAATACTTTATTTATTTTATAAATATATAAAATTAAATAAATTATTATTATAATTTTTATTTTATATAAATTTAAAATTAAATAAATTATTATTGTAATTTTTATTTTTTTTAAAATATAATATTAAATAATTAAAAATATAATTTCAGAATACAATATTAATATCATTTTTAAAAAATCAAAATTATATTAAATAATATAATAAGAAAAACAAAAAGATTATTTATTATTTTAAATATGTAAAATAAATAATATTATTTTTATTCATTTTTAAATAATATAAAAATATAAACATAATTCAAATAATAAAACTTATTTTATTATATATAATTAACAAAATATTTATAAATATTTATTAAAATAACATATTATAAAAATGTATTTTAATAAAATATAAATATATAAACAATTTAAATAATAATATTTATTTTATTATATAAACATATAAAATAAAATTTAAAAACAAAAAAAAAGCTAAGTCAGAATTCGATTTCTTGAATGGCAAAAATTTACTACAATGATTGAATCTATTTAGATAAATAAAAAATAAATGAGTTTGTTTCTATATTTTTTTATTTTTTTTAATAATTTTTCTGTAAAAATTTATCAAACGTTGTAAGATACGACAATTTTTTACAGTTCATAAAACTGTACTAAAAATTGACCACACACCGCAATAGCACAGGGCAATCGTCAGTTTTCTCCATTTGTATATATAGGTTGAAATTTTAAGAATATTTAAAAATTTATATATTTTTATATTATTATTTAATTTTTTAAGGCCTATCTTACTGTCTATAATTATGTATGCAATTACACGAGTTTAACTTTCTAGCATTATTATTATAAAATTCTTTATATTATCAATTAATTATGATATATTATAAATATAATTTTATATTAATTATTATAAAATTAATAGTATATATTGATACAATAATTTATAATTGAATGACTATATATTCACATTAAATTCTGTAATATATTAAATAAATTTTTATTAAAAATTACAAACTATTATATAATAAATGTGTTAATAATATTAAATTTATATTTTATAGAAATTATCTATTTATTAAATTATTATTGTATATTTCTATTTTTTTTATTTTAAAGTATAAACAATAAAAAGCTATTTATTTATTATAATCAGTCACGATAAAACATAAAATATTCATATTATTGAATTCGTTGGCATTTGATTTTTATTTATCGTGAAAATAGTTATGTGATTACTTATTGGCCTTGTCATAATGGTTCATAACCTTATGCATATAAAATAAAATAAACAAAATTAAATACTGTAATAATTTTCATTTATTTTTTATAAAATGAAAAACATTAAATAATTTTTATATTTTTAAGTTACCAAATCTATTTATTTTTTATTAAACATTAGAAAGATTAACAAAAAAATTTAGAAAATACATATTATGTTGTTTTAAAACTTTAATCAAATGTACCAGATAATGAAAATCGTCAAATGTATCATTTTAAATACTTTTAATTATTTAAAATTATAAATCAGAAATAGTTTTAACAAAAACTGCAGTATTTATTATTATTATTATTATTTTACCCATAGGCCATATAGCTTATTATATAAAAAATTGAAAGAAAGATCGTTGGTTCAATGGGGTATTATATGTTTGTGACGAATATGCCCCGGTGCTCTCGTTTTCTGTAGCTGCGTCCCATCGCATCACACAGAGACACACAGAATCAGAGGAAAGGGAACGTACGATATGGATAGGGTCTTCTCAGTCGACGAAATCTCCGATCACTTCTGGTCGCCGCCGATCCCTGTCTCCGGCGCCGATGATTCCTCTAAGATGAGTCGCAGCGCTTCTGAGTGGGCCTTTCAGCGCTTCCTCCAGGAAGCTTCAGCTTCCGCACCCTCTCCCCCTTCTTCCTCCTCCGCCGCCGACGACGTCGTTTTCGTCGAGATCAACGATCAAGCTAAACCCCCTCCCAAAAACGGCGCCGTTTTGCCCAATGCCCCTGCACCCGTTCCCCTTGACTCTGAGGAATACCAAGCTTTCCTCAAAAACCAACTCAATCTTGCATGCGCCGCCGTCGCCCTGACTAGGGTATTTCTCCTTCTTCTTTCTTCGTTCTCCAACATAAATTAACGACTCTATTGGTTTCGAATTTTGGATCTATTCACTTTTCTTCCTGTTATTGCTCTGTGGTTCATCAGAAAACTCCAAATTTTTTTGCTGCATTTTTATTTATTTATTTGCATTACAGGGTTTCTGATTCTGCTGAATAACGAATTTTTTAGTGTATTTTATGTTTATCTGGTTGGTCCATTAATGGGAAAAAAGTGGAAATGCTGCATGCACCTTTTCTGCCCCCTTTTTCGTTGTTATGCTTTCTACCCAAATCGATTAAACTAAAAGCATAACTTGTATATGGATGCATGTGTTGTTAGGAGCAAAGGGTGGCCATAGCACATCTTGTAGATTTAGGTAGGAAGTATTTTACTTCCAAATGGTAAAAGTTTAAAGAAGATATATAATAGATTGATGTGTAACTATTGTATACTCTATTTTAGTATTTTCTGGGGCACTAACCAGTATCAACCTTCTGAAATTCAGTGGAAATTTGACAATGTGTTCGTTCGACAAATAGAAATACAGAAATTAGAATGAAGCACCCGAATAAAAGGTCTTCAGCGGCTTCCATAAGAGGCTTTATATTTATATTTATCATAATCTATTCCCACTGAAAATTGAGCCAGTATCTTATGTTTTTTTTTCCTACTCATTGCAGCAGGGGTCTTTGACTAAATCTCAAGATCCAACCACATTTCCTGAGGGTGGATCACAGCCGTCTAATGCTTCTCAAGTTGGATCTCAGCCTACTTCTAAAGGTTTGAATTGGTAAATATTTATGAATATGTGTATTAAAAAGGTTTAATGGCAATACAGGCTCAGTAAGAAAGTAGAGCGGGTCGAATGCTGAGTGTAAAATAAATTAGTAACTATCGGTAGTTGCAGGAGTAGGGTGAGTGCATAATATATCTATAATCTTGTTATAGCCAGAAAGTATTGCTTTCATTCGCTGATCTGTGTAATCAATTTTTGAGCCGTCTTACAGGTTGATTTTTATCTCTCACTATATGGATAACACCTATTGAATTGTGTCAAATACATCTGTCTATGTAGCATCTGTTCCTTCTGGAAATGATCCATCCAAGTTACAAGATAAAGATACCAAAGTACCAGTTGGGATTCCTTCCTTACCTACCTTGCAAAAGAAACCTGCTGTTGCAATCAGGCCATCAACTAGTGGATCATCGAGAGAGCAGTCAGATGATGAGGATGCTGAGGGAGAGACATCTATGAATGACAACTTGGACCCTGCTGATGCAAAACGAGTAAGGAGGTAACAATTGTCTCAAAATTTATTGACTTTGTTATAGGAAATGCTGGTGCTTCCTTTAAACTCGGGAGTTCAATGTAATATCATGTAATTGCCTTCAGAGATTTGGAAGTTTGTTTTATTAAGAAGGATTTGCTGCTTCGTAGTAAATGAACTTAGTGATGAGCCTGTCAGAAAAATTGCACCTAGTGTCACATTAGATCTCTGAAGTGAAAGTAATGCTACTTACTCAGTTTTCTTCGCAAATTGTGCACAATCTGATGATGAGGTTGCATCTAGATTCACTTTGAGCCTCTGCTAGAACTTTTTTTTAACTTAGATGTGAATATATCAGAAGCCTTTTGAGGTTAACTATTGAATTGCCTACTTTATACATTAAGTTGATCTGCTTTTTTTTTTTCATAGATAGGATTCTATTTTACCCTCTGTTATTTTTAAATGTAAGCCCTCATCTGCTCAACTCGGGGACAAATTCTGCTTCGGTTAATTCAATGTCTAATACCTTTTTATCTCTCAGGATGCTTTCCAATAGGGAGTCAGCAAGACGCTCAAGAAGACGAAAGCAAGCTCATTTAACTGAGCTGGAAACACAGGTGTGTATCTTTTTATTTTAATTTTGTAGATCTGACTTGTTTCTGCCCCCTTCTTTTGTGTTAGTCGGTTAGTTCACCCATAGATATATTGATATTTCTGACATTGTATTTCCATCTTAGGTTTCTCAACTAAGAGGTGAAAATTCTTCCTTGTTAAAGCGCCTTACTGATGTAAGCCAGAAATACAATGACTCTGCTGTCGACAACAGAGTTTTAAAAGCTGATGTTGAAACATTAAGAGCAAAGGTAAAGTCCTACTTTATGCTTTTACGTGGCTTAATGAAAAACCAGCTCTTTCTACGGAGTTCCCTAGGTTTGGCTGACAAGCTGATGAATGATATACCCAAATCAGGGTCATATTTTTCAAGTGGAGAGAAACTAAATTAAAAAGGGAAAGTAATATTAGTTCATCTGTATTGACTAAGATCCGACATATTTGTCATTTCCTTCCATGTTATTCTCATTTTTAGGTGAAGATGGCTGAAGAGACTGTCAAAAGAATTACTGGGTTGAACCCTATGTTTCATGCCATGTCTGATATATCAACAATGGGTATGCCATCATTTGATGGAAGCCCTTCAGACACCTCAGCTGATGCAGCTGTTCCTGTGCAAGATGATCCCAGTCATCACTTCTATCAACCAACATCTAACAATCCTATTCCCAGTCATGATCTGAGAGTGGGGGACATTTCTTCAATTGAAAATGTGCAGCAGAATGCCGCAGCAGCGGTAGCTGGGAACAATATCGGTCAAACAGCTTCCCTGCAGCGGGTGGCTAGCTTGGAACATCTTCAGAAGCGGATTCGTGGTGGTGTGGATTCGTGTGGACCTCCATCTAATGGGGAGCAGTAATGAAGTAGCCAAATCTCATGGATGCTTCATCAAGAAATTATTCTAAAACCCTTATTTCTGTTGTAAGGAAAGGTCTATTTTTCTTGAATACATTGTAAATCAATTTGATGGAACACATGACGCTAGATTAAAACAGTGCACCAAAATATCTTTTTCCTTAAAAAAGAAGATAAAATAAAATTTACCCCCTTTTAGTTTAACAATTTCTTAACTAAATCCCCACGATTTTTTCTCAGTAAATTCCGGGGCGTTGTTGGATTTGGTTTTACGTGAAGCTTGCTTTTGATTTTTGTTGTTGTTGAAACAGCCGAAAAATTCACAGATTTTGCTCATTACCGCTTATAAAATCTACTATTGTTTGGTTGCTAGAACACGAAGGTTATGCAACTTCCTTGGAGCGAGTTGAACCTAGTGATCGCGTCTAAGGTGGACGGAAGGATTTATCACCATGAGTTACTCATGGCGAGTTAAAACTGTTACTTTTGTAACGAGGAATGTCAAGGCCCCGTCACCATTGAGCCATATGATGGTAACCCCTACCATAAACTTCACAATATTTTTGCTTTACATAGTCACTGTCCTGCCTTACATGCCTCTCAATCAAATCAACTCATTGACCACCTTCATTCGAGCTGTTCTTCCATTCATTAGCTGATAAAAAAATTATATTAAAACATTTATTGTTATCTTAACACGTGTAAACTATAGCATCATCAAGATTAACTTTTACTGTTTAGAATTTAATTCATCATCTTCAAGTCACACTTATATAATAGATTGTGTTCATATCAATATCAACTTTATTATTAACAACTCAAGATTTTATATTCAAATGAAGTTTAAATACTAGACATGAATACATGCATATATACAAAAGAAAATAGTAAGATAAATTTCAAGTAGTCCATATTATTGTTTTACATAGTCACTGTCTTGCCTTACATTTTCATAATGCCTCTCAACCAAATCAACTCATAGACCATCTTTATTCGGTCTATTCTTTCACTCATTAGCTGATAGAAAAATTATACTGAAACTTTTATTGTTAACTTTTATTGTTATCCTAACCTGTGTAAACTGTAACATCATCAAAACTATTATGTTGAAATTAGTATAAACTGTAGCATCATCAAGACTAATTTTTATTATTTAGAATTCAATGCATCATCTTTAAATCACACCTATGTAATAGATTGTGCTCATATCAATATTAGCTTCATTACTAACAACTGAAGATTTTATATTCAAATGAAGTTCAAATACTAAATATGAATACATGCATATATACAAAAAAAAAAAAATAGTAGGATAACTTTTAAGTAGTCCATGAGTAATGATTATTGTGGCTTCTGTCAAGATAATTAAGATGGTCACTAAACATAATCTAGAATTTATGCTTTTGGTTTTGAAAATTTAAAAATCTAAAAAATATAAATAATGTTTTTAAGAACAACTTTTTAATCAACAAAACATTTTCATAAAAAAAAGGGTAAGAAAGGATAGGAATGTTTTTTAACCATATTTCTCAACTACATTCACATATTCTTCACTCCACTCACATTCCACTCCTATCATAGTCAATTATGAGGTATTATTCTTATAATAAATTTATACAATAACTTCTGCACAAAAAGAAGAGAGATAAAAAGAAAAAAGAGAGAAGTGTAAAAAAAAATGGATGATAAGGTGAAGAGAGAGAGAGAAAAAGTTAGCGTGTAAGAATTATTGTAAAATTCATTGTAAGAACAACATGTGAACTATTATCAGTTTACTTAATAGTAATTTAATAGCCTCTATAACATTCTTTTAATTATTTTAAATATAAAAATTATATATTAATATTTAGTCTAAAAAATTACAGAAAATATTAAATAAAAATAAGAACATTTAACATTTCAAAATTTAAAAAAATATATTAATCATTTCATTTATAGGAATATAAAATTATTAATTATGCACTATTCTCAAACATTCATAATTATATGCGTAATTAATTTGCCCAATATTCCCAATCCAGGAAAAAGAAATCAGCAAGAGAAAAGCATTTGACAAAAAACGAAAATAAGAAAAATGGGAGTTAATAATATGATGGATACGTAATCGTAAATAACTATTCAAAACTCTTGACAGAGTCCCACCCCATCCGCAAACCTTGTTGGCGGTTACGGTAATGTTATCTAATCTCTTAGCAGAACCCAGAAAATAGAATCACATGAACATGAACATGAACATGAACGTCACTCTTTCCCTTTCTTCTTCTTCAATGATCCCGACGCTCCCTTTTTCTTCCTCCTCTTCTTCTACCTTGTCCTTCTTGGCTCCCAACAACAACGCTCACTCACTTCTCCTGAATAAATCTAGAATCAGAACAAGAAGAACCAAGGGTCTCACTTGCAACGCCTTGTTCGGATTGGGCTTACCCGAGCTCGTAGTCATTGCCGGAGTAGCTGCCCTCGTTTTTGGACCCAAGAATTTGCCCCAAGTGGGTCGCTCCATCGGCAAAACCATTAACAGCTTCCAACAGGTTCGCTACTAACTATTTTCACTTGTAACATCTTTATACGTGAGACTGGATTGCGAATTTGTGCCTGTGTCATGTGAAACTTTATTTTGTGTTTATTTAGGTGCCTAGTTTAAACTCGAAGGTAAACGTAAATATAATTAACAACATAAAGAAACGAAAATGGTCACAATTCTTTGGAAATTAGCATTGGCATATTATCATATTATCGTCCATAGCAGTTGAATTCTGTCATCATGCTTAATTAGTTGTTATTAATAGATTTTGAAATGTCGTAGGCAGCAAAGGAGTTTGAGTCTGAGCTTAAAAAGGAACCTAATTCCACAGAAGAGACCCCTCCAATTGCTGAGAGTGAGCAGGAGGAGCAAGATACTAAGGTTTCTAGCACTAAGGATAGCTAGTATATGAGATGTACAAGATTGTATAACATTGTATGGCGTTTAATAATATTAATGCATTTAATTATATTGAATTTTGTAATTTTTAATAAAAAAAATATTATATATAAATTTTTATCAAAATTGAATAGTAATCATATATACATATATATATATATATATATATATATATATATATATTCAGATTTTTAAATAAGTTTGTTTAAAAACATTAAATTCCAGACCAGAAAGAGGATTACAGAGGAAAAAATGTTTCATGATACGTCTTCTGAGCACTTAACTAGATATTCACACAAAAGAAGGAAGACAAAAAAAAAATTCTCTCGTAAGATTGCAATGACTACTTCTAAAGACTGAAATCCAAATGGTTCGTCTATTTGAGTCTGGGTCTCTTTTCCACTAATTGAAAAACAAAGGAGTTGTCAAAGTCAAACTGAAAATAATCTAAAACTTGATTCAATACTGCTAATCATTTATGCTGAGTAGGAAAATTTCTATCTGCCTACCAATTGCATTGAATCATAACATGATTTTTAGTTGGGAGAAAGGGATATCTATGGGAATCACGTTTCAACTATCTAATGACTGTCATATTCTTGTCTATACCTTTGATTTTACTATAGTATGGGTGTTGAACATATTTTGTAGTATTATACTAAGTCATTTATGATCAGAAAAATATCTATATCTCGGATTTTGATGACAATGTTGAATTATATACACGTTCTTTGATAGAATTTTAAAAAACTAATAATATGTGAGATTAAAATTCAGCAACGAAAATTTTTTATATTTTAATTATAGTAAAATTCAATATTTTATCTGATAACTTTTAATCAAAGGAATATTTAAAATGAATTACTTGAGTTAATTTATAAATTTTTTTTATTAAAAATAATATTTAAATAAATTTAAGTCAAATAAATAATGATAAGAATTCAGTTATAACAATTAAAAAAGAAACTTAAATTTATTAGAAATTAAAATATACATTAATTATTGTATAAAACTAAATTGTAATAAAATCAAATTTTCGCCATCAATACGTAAGTACCTTACCCTTGTCTATAAGTATTTTATTTGGCAAAGGAATTGAAATATACACAATAGAGGGGTATAATAATACACTAGTTTCGCATAACGTGAGTGCAATTACTCGCAACTTTAAGATTCATTAATAACCTACGCTTAAATGGCATATAGGTTAAAGAAAATGACAATTGGACCTAGTTTCTTATAAAAGCGTGATGCGTTGTACACCACTTTCTTTTTATATCATAATTTCTACCCCAAGGTTAAATTCCATATAATAAGTTTGAACATAGTTATGAATCATTGATATTTGTCATAAATTACATAAAAACAATTATGTTTCTTTTATAAATTGTAAAATAAATATTCATTTTTTTCTATAATTTTGTTGATGATTAGAATTTCAGTCATCAAACGCTAATTCTAAAGATATCTAAACATAGAAAAAATAGTGACTAATATCTTTAAAATACTAGTTAATTGTTTTAAAATATTATATATATCTTAATATATTTTTAACATAATTTTTAATTATTTTTCATTATTTATTTATTAATTAATATTTTAAAAATATTTATTGCCAAGACCTAAATAAAATTATCTTAATTTGTGCGAACTTGATTCTCCTTAAATTTATCTATGATAAAAAAAATAACATTTTCATATTCATACGTGTATAATATGAAAAAAAATATGGAACTTGTAACTAAAAATATATAAAATATAAAATAAATTTATAATATAAATATAATTTTTAATGTGCGTTTAAGAATATATTAAAAAGAAGTAGCAAAAAAAAAAAGGAATATATTAAAAAGATTTAAATAAAAACATTTATTATTTTACATCATAAAAAATATTTAATAAAAAATTTCTTATACGTATATTTCATATTCTTTTAACGTATATTATTTTGTGATAAATTGAAAAATTTTATACAAATATTTGTTTAAAAAATTATATTAAAGAATAATTTTTTATTGTGTGATTAAAACAGATGATAAAAATTATTGAATAAATTCTATTAAATACTTTAAATTATCATAAATAAAAATTATATAGTTTAAATAAATTTAAAATAATAAATAATTAAAAAAATTTAACTTGTGTTGTTGAATAAATATTGAAAAATGAATTAAAGAAAAGGAAGAGGGAGCGCGTGCGTGCACGTAAGAAAGAGTCAATGGCGATTAACATTTGCCCATCTTTCTATCTTTTGTTGTTTTGTCAATCTTGCAACCTTTTTGTGTTTTCAGTCGTCTCGTCTCTCTCCTATATTTGTTTCAGTCTTAAAAAGCACACCGCACTCACCATTCTCTTCTCTTCTCCACACTCTCTCAAAGGACCAAAAGCTGGAAAGCTTAAACTGCCAAATACTAGTAAAAACACCCATTCAAATCCAAATCCAATCCCACCACTCTCTCTCTCTCTCTCTCTTTATTTCCCTTTTCTCAAAATTCCACAAAACAAAACATTCTCGGGAAACGGAACCCCAAATTCCATTCTCGGGTCATCGGGTTCCGAATCAACCAACCGTTTTCACATACTGCAACAAAACAACACAACAAGCCTCCTTGATTTCCGCTCTCCGTGCTTCTCAATCTTGTCATCGAGTTTTCAGCTTCAAAGCAAATGTGGCAATAAAAACAAGGATTCTTCAATTACTTTACGAAACTTCCTCGTTGTTATTATAGCAAGCAAAGTTGCAAGCTTTTTACATGGCAGGTAACACATCGGAAGGGTTGGGCGACGATTTCTTCGAGCAGATCTTAGCAGTGCCTGACGCTCAAGTAGGTTATGGAAGAACGGTGGTGAATGACGTGGGAGTGTTACAGTTGGGATCCACAACGTCGTTAATGCCTCTGGGGTTGAATTTGGAGCAAGCTGCTTTTCTAAGACACCAAGATTCCAGAAACTTCCTCCACGACGTCGTTAATGTTGACGCCACCGTTACCAATAACCTCCGTCTCCATAATAACAATAGCACCTCCTCCTCGTCTTCCTCTACTGCACATATCACCGTATCTTTTCCTTCTCTTATATATATATATTCGTTAGCGATGCTACCATACATGCATATGACATGTGGACATGGGGCTCATGCACATTAAAGAGGACATTTATTTTAATTTTTGATGCTGTGTGTGGCGCAGGATAGGGATTCGATGCATATGAGGGGTTTGTTTCCAGCGTTTGGACAATTGCATAATCCCACTCACGTTCACTCAGTGCGCCCCACGCTTCCATCGCCTCCTCAGCCACAACTCCACCTCCACCATCACAACCAACAGGTATAATAACTATTATTATTACTTTATTCTTAATCATTTTTTATCTTTATCTTTAATGAATGACCATATTGTCCCTTGCTTTTCACTCTTCCATCTAATTATATCATAATCATAATTAAATCTATTTGCAATTGCCCACTTCCCTCCCTCATCCAATAATTACCTCAAACCTATATAAGGACAGATTATTGTAATATATTAACCTTAAAGTTGGATCACTTTACAATGCATAAAGATGAGATGCCTCTCGATGTTTAGTAAGTGCTTCATCCATGGCCATTCGTTCCTTTATTATTATAAATAATTAAATATAATTTACTCCTAATATTTTATTCAATCATTATACAAATACATATGCTTTTCCCTGCTTTTCTGAAGCGAAATCTCAGTATTGGGTTTGGAGGCTTACTTTACAATTTGACCTTTCTAGCTGCGGATGCGCTCGTTGTGTTAATCTCACTCCTTCAAGGCCAATATTCGCATTCGCAGAATCATTGGCTTTATTTTTTTCCCATTCATATTTTAAAAAAATTTTCGGATTTTGTTTTATACTTAGTTTTTATATGTTATTTATATTTTCAGTACGAAGTTTGTTGGATGTGTTTTGGAATTTTAGGAGCATATCGTGGCACTTATTTTCCTACTCTCTTCCTTTTTTTTATCTTTTGTTTTGGAGTGTTGCAATCAGCGATGGACGAGTACTTCCAGTACTACTTTCCTCCTACGCGTTTTCTGTGCTAGTTTTCATTGGTAGATCACTTTTCAAAAGAAATATATGAATACTTTTTTTTTAATATTTTTTCTTGGTATTGGTAAACTATAGGTGAATTTTATCAAACATCGCTAGTTTATATTTGAAGCTCTATTTTTCTTTTAAATTTGTATCTCTTATTTTGTTGTTTTTTATTTCTTTCTTTTACCCATTTTACATGTACTGGGTCTGAAATAAATGTGATTCATATGTAAATTATTTGTCATTTTGTTTTTACTTATTAACATTTTCGATTAATTAATTAAGGTGTAATTTAAATAGTTAATGTATTTAAAAGGTCTCATATAATTCGCCAAATAATAAAAATATAGTATTACTTAAACTAAACTCCTCTTCTTATATTTCATAGACTAATCCTGTCCTAGGGCCAATAGGCAACACTGCAACTGCTGACTTGGATTCAATTCCAACGGTCCCGTACCATTAGGGACCCGCATTTTTATATATATATTAGTATTTCTTAGGGCTTGGCATCTTGACATTTTGCTAGTGTAGCAAATGTGCACATTGACGATGAGACAATGCCTCCCATCTTCACCTCCACAGCGGGTCCCTATTCCCTAACCTAAACTCAACATTTTAAAAAACAAATAATATTCCACTACTTTTTCTAATCAAGTCCACACACGTCATACATGAAACACCGACACTGCCATGATGCCTCATATGTCGTATTCTTGTGGTCGTAGATTTGCACGCTTCAAATATTCGTTTTGTGTATTTGTATTTATGTCCATGTCCATGTCCATGTCCATGTGCATGCCTACTACACCGCTTGATTGCTCAACCTGTTTTACTTGCATTGCGTTTGAATTGTTTACGATTCTAGAATTAATTTAGATGCATGGACAATGGACATCACTGAAATAACAATTATTTACTTAATAACTATCAAGCCCCCAAGGTTAATGTTTGCACATTTTTTTCAAAAAAAAAATTGCTAATTTGATTAGCTTTGAATATGTGATGTTACTTACTAAATGTTCCCATTGCAGCACTTTCAGGGGCAGGCACCTGCAGCTCCAGTGTCAATGGCTGCTACGCCACAAGCACCTGGAATTCGCCCTCGTGTGAGAGCAAGAAGAGGGCAGGCCACAGATCCCCACAGTATTGCTGAGCGGGTAAGCCACACACTTTTTAATTACTCCTCAAACTCTTGCACTTTGTAGAGTAACCTTTATCTCTCGCTGGTCAAAAGTACGCAATTTGTTGCATGATTTTTCTAGTTCATCACCTTCAGGCAGTGTATGATTAACTATTACAAAGCTTATTAATGGCCAAGGGAAATTCAAGCTTTGCCTACAACTGAATCAATCCCTTCATTGTTTTGAATCTTCAAATCACTTTTATAGCACGCCCACTTAACTGTTTTGTACATTGTTATAGATATATAGAAATCTTAAATTCAGCTAAAATGGATTTTTTTTTATTAAAAATATGATAAATATTAAACTATTAAAATGTTTAAAATTAATATTAAACACTGAACTAACAAATGTTTATATTGTTAAAAGATATTAAAAAATTAATAATGATTTTTTTCATCAAAAAGTATTATTTAATGGATGAAACAAATATTTATATATTACAAAACAACTAACTCTTGATTTTTAAGTATTTTTCTTAAAATATTGGTTAACAAATATATATATAGACCAACCAAGAACTGGTCGCATAATCATCATTAAGGAATGACAGTCCATTAAACTACTGAATGGAAGCTTCTGTAACCTTTTTATCCTTTAACTACATGAGTGACGTAATAGCCAACAGGGTTTCTAACCATTTCACAAAAGACTGGACGGTATTGTTAGTAATTCTAGATTCTTTTTCTTGTCCATCTATGACAATTGATATATCGTTTCCCATTTATTTGTGTTGCATGTAGTTGCGTCGTGAAAGAATCGCTGAAAGAATGAAGGCATTGCAGGAATTAGTTCCCAGCATCAATAAGGTTGGCGGTTTTCGCAATGCAGTTACAATTTTGACACTTTTGCCTGATGAATTTGTTTGCTTATATTTTCCGTAAACGTACAATTTACATTTTCTATTAACTAAGAAATTATCATTTCTTCATGCTTCATGCATCTTTTTGTTAATTAAAAACGGATACTTCATTATATAAATAACCATTAAATTAAAACTTTCTTATAGCGTACACATGGATGTTTATTTATCTTTATAACTTAAACCTTAAAAGCCATGTATCAGTACTTTATATAAAGTATTAAAAACAGTGGATTACAAAAAAACAGTATAATAAAAGGTTTTGTAGATATCTACTGTTAAAATGGGAGTCCATTCATGCTTAATGTTATGAAATTGTGGCTGTAGACGGACAGAGCAGCGATGCTTGATGAAATTGTGGATTATGTGAAATTTCTAAGGCTCCAGGTTAAGGTATGCATTAAAATTTTTTCCTGTAGAAAAGTTATGTTGAACTTTTACGATTGTCTTTCGAAATAAGTCTCGGGCACGAGCTTTTGCCGAATACGCTATTTTGATCAGAAACAAGTTTCAAATTATTAAGCCTCCCAAATCTTAGTACTGTGGATTGTGGAATATCCATTTAGACTTTAGAGTACATGATAGACACATTCCTGGATTGACTTTGTGTCGTGGGTAGCTTCCTATTGCAATGAGGTTTCAATTGAATATCAAATATCCGCTACATATTTTTAACCCGCTTAATTTCTTTTTAACAATTATCTCAAGTAATAATAAATAGAATCCTTTGTCCTTTACACGGTTTCATATATTTTCAAACAGGTCCTGAGCATGAGTAGATTGGGAGGAGCTGGTGCAGTTGCTCAGCTTGTGGCTGATGTTCCCCTTTCTGCAGTGGAGGTGATCAATACTGGAAACATGATGCTTAGAAATACTACTTTATTATTATTAATTTATTCCATTACATATTCTTTGTTTTTTTTCTTATGTCTACTTTGCCTTACATATTGTACATGTGTGTATTCGCATAACTTTATAGACCTTTTTGTATTTAGATTCTTACATTGGATTTATTGATTGTGGGAGCAGGGGGAGGACATAGAAGGTGGAGCCAATCAGCCGCATGCTTGGGACAAGTGGTCCAATGATGGCACAGAACAACAAGTGGCTAAGCTTATGGAAGAAGATGTGGGAGCAGCTATGCAATTTCTTCAGTCCAAGGCACTTTGTATCATGCCCATATCTCTAGCCTCAGCCATTTTTCGTATGCCTCAATCAGAAGCATCAACAATTATCAAGCCAGAATCAAACAGCCACTCATAGAATATCATGATAGACATTACATAATTTTGTTTAGCTCAATTTGCTCCTATTATTCCTCCTTTATGACACAAGGGTATTCTACTTTCTTGTACAATTTTGTGATTGGATGGAAAAGGATATAGTCGGTGCAGCTGTTAATTCATTTCAAGTTTTTGTCAAAGGAGGAGTAATTGTGATTCCTAATAAGTAAAACCGGAGGAGCCCAGCATGTCCTTTTCATGCTGAAGATAAAATATTTTCAATGGCCTTATTGATGTTTTTCTTCCAAATATCTGTGGTGGGGTTGGTGGATGACCAAAATATTTGTAGTGGAAGCTCCTTTTCTTCGGTTTTGATTTTTAGGCAGTGGAAAGTGGGACCATTTAAAAGGAAAGGATGGGTATGCATGATGTATGTGGAGAAAATTTTAATACAAGTTGAAATAAAATATGGCTTGTTACCATGTAAAGCTGTTTGGAAGCATCTGACAATTGGAAAAGCTAAAGGTAATTTCAAATAGTCATACAGGTTGAGTTTTGTTTGCTTCTAAAACAAGTGAATTCCACCATAAAATTAGGTGAGAGATTACTGAACCGACTGCTTATTCAGAAAGTCGAAAATGACAGTTTGTTAATTTACTGAACAAAATAAAAGCAAATTATTAAAGTTTGTGCTCAATAATACAATAGAATCCCTATTTAATAATATCAATGTATTCTTCTGTCATGCCCACAAAATCGTTCTTTGCGTTTTATACGGAAATGTCTTAGGTAGATTTGGGGAATATTTTTTTATACATTAAATTTAGAAATTATATATACTAAAATATGATAATTTTAAAATATTACAAAAAAGTAAAATTTAACAAATATATATTAATAGAACAAAAAAATAGTTATGAATTTTAAAAAATAAAAAAAAATAAAAAATACCAAATACTAAAAAAATATTACACAAGATTTTTGAAGATTATATATATATATATATATATATATATATATATATGTATGTATACATAGATAAATATATACGATATCAATTTTTAGATGTTTAAATAATAGAATTAAAATTTATATAAATTTTCGAGTTAATTTGGACATAAAGTACAATTTGTTCCCTTTGTTTATTTAACAATATTTTTTATATCTAAAAAATTAATTATATGTATAAATCAATTCATTAAGTGAGACAAAGTTTATTTAAATATTTTATATGTCTCAAAAAAATGAATCTACAATTATATTTTCTCTCTATTTTTTGTATATCTCAAATATTTTTATGCATCGAGAATATTTATATCAAGTTTATGATTGCTGATTAATTTATTTGAGACAAAAAATATTTAAATAAATTTTGTCTCACTTAACAAAGTCCTTTATACATTAAAAAAAAAACATATTCAAAGAAGATGGTCTTTATTAAAACCTATGTTTGATTGTTTGTGACACTACTGATGCAAAGGTGAGACAAAGGATTTTAATGTTGTTAAGCCACAGGAGAATTTTATTTGATAAGGCGCGAGGATTTCTAAATTTAATTGATTGGGATGAGATGGACAATTTGATGGTTCAAAATCAAGGAAATTAGACATCAAATTCGGCAACGATTCTAAAACTAGACTAATCATTAAACTCACGAAAGTATTGATTTACATTTTACTAATTCAAATGAGATTGAACCGACGTCAAATTTACAATATTATATGTTTTAAATGTTATATAATATGTAAAAAAAATTAAACTAATATAAAATTATAAAAAATAAGTTGGATAAAATTTTAAAAAATAATTGTATATCTTGTGTGATAAAAAAAAAGTATGATAAAAATTGTGAAGTGTCGGTAACTAATGCATAAATTTCATATATGAACCTTTATTTATTTAAAAAGAATTTTTAAAGAATTTTTTTAAAAATTAAAATATAAGAGAAAGCCACTTTTTTTTTTTTTTAAAAAAATCTACTTCAAAATAAAACTAATAATTGTGAGAACTGGAAACTACTTTTTAACATTTTAGCCTAAAAAATCTAGTTCGAAAGAAATTCATTCATATTTAATAAAAAATATGTACCCCTTTGTTTTGGTTTCTCAAGTATACTATATGCTTCTTAAATCTGTCCTCAGGTGTGCAAGAATTTGTTGCTGTAGAATGATCTTCTGCTTTCATAAACACTGTAAAACTCAATGTTAATAGTTTTCTATTAAGTTTTATGTGTAAAATAAGGATCTGTTCACTACTGGATGTGGAGCTATGGGTTGTGTCTTTTGGTTTGCAGCTCATTAAATTTGCTGGTTATTTAAATGTAATTTTAGAAATTGATACTAAGGAAATTATCCAAATTATTCTAAATGATTATTTTCCTTTTTAGTTGATATTATTTAATTAAAGTTGTAGGAATTGTATTTTATTTATTGTAATTATATGTATCACAAAGATAACCATTCTGCAGAATTCTTTAAGTATTAGTTTCTTTAGGCTTTGTAATTTTTTAGATAGGACTCCTTTTTTCTGAGTTTCTCGATAGAATTCTTTAAGTATTCTTCTCTAGGTATAAGGGTGTGCATGGATTGAATTTGTACAAAATCAATCTAAATCTATTTCAAATCCAATTATATGAATTAAATTTTAAATTTATTTATTTTATTCTTTTGAAAACCAGTTTTAAAATTTAAAATTAGTTTAAAATTAGTTTTAAATCCAGTTTTAATCAGAACCGATTTTATTTTTATACAATATGTAAGTTTTATTAATGTAATCTAAGTAATAAGGAAGCTTAGTAACCTTGAACAACCATGTTGTTCCCCAAACCAATTCATTCTATTATTAACAAGTTACTTTAAGTAATATTTTCTAATATCATTAGAGCAGAAACACAAAATTTGACAAAAGCTGGTATATAGTGCCAAATTTCACATTGTCACTCTATCAGCCATTTGGAAGGGAACACGAAAGACATATTTTGCAGTTTCTTTTGCTGCTGCAGTGATGCATCAATCAGTTTCTATAACACAACAACAACAAAAGCCTTATCTTACTAATCAGTTTCTTCACTAAGGCCAAAAAATAAATACAACAGGCATTAATTGTTAAACAGGAGTAAACAACAAAACCTATACAAAAAATTACTTACTACTCTTTCCCAAGCTATATGATTTAATTTTACAAATGGCTGACATCTATCATTGCGTGAAGAGTAATAATCATAATTTATTACTTTTATCAAAATTTTCCCTTATCAATCTCAAAGCATACCTCATCATGAGACTTTGTTCATTGAAATAACTGCATAAGTACAGGGTAACTAGAAGATGTAATTCTGAAGCAGCACAAATGATAAATAAATTAGAAATTCAAATGCCCATGAAGCAGTGATTAAAAAGAGAAAGAGTACCTTGGTGACCCATATGCTGATCATAATTATTGGGCCCATGAATTTCACGTGCATGATTAAGGTCTAGGCCTATGAATTTTTTGAGCTCTATTACACTCCAGGTCAGCATGGTTGTTAACCATGCTGAAATCTCAGCTGCCAACAAATTAAATATTCTTAATATAACTAACAAACTAGGCCACTTACCGATGTAAAGCATGCTTAGAAACAATTAATCTGGCAACTTACAAACTATCAGCAAATATACACAAACAAAATAAAACATGCAAATTTGAAAATAATACCATACAATATATTAATAAAAACAACATGGCACAATGAAAATTTACACACAAACAAAAATTGGTATAAAAAGCTAGTCAAAAAGGATCAATGAGACAGAACAAAACATTTTAAAAGAAAACATAATTCCATAGAACATTATTCATAACCAGAAAATTTAAACATCAACACATCTTAACAACCACTACAACACTACCATTTCAACAACTAAGAAGTAACATTAAGCAAAAAAACATTTAATCATCATCAAGCGCCATAGAAGCTATAAAAGCAGTATCTTGTCGTGAAGCTATTTTTGCAAAATAAAAATGATGTATAATTAATAATTATTTATTAACTTGTAATATAGTTAATAACAACATAATGAGTGTTCTTACCTTGCTCAAAATTTTCAAGGTCTTCAATTTTCTCATTTGATAGTAATGGTGAAGAATATCCCTTAAGCCAGTCTTGGGTGCAAATAAGTACTTCCACCATTTTAAGTGTTAAGGAAGTGCAGTAAGAATCAAGTACCCTTCCTCCAGTACTAAAGGAAAATTCAGAGGCTACAGTGGAGACAAGTATTACCAACACCTCTCTTGCAATGCTTGCAAGGATTGGAAATCGACTTGAGTTTAATTTTCACCAATTCAAGATATCAAAACTTTTCGGGCTTTCTAAAGTTTCTTCCAAGTACTTACTCAATTCAGAATTCTTACTTCCACTTTATCAAAAAAATTGACTATATCCATAACGATCATCACTACTACCTGAAAAAATTCACTATAGCCATAATGATCATCATTCAATATTGTTTCCTTTGAATCACTTTGAGATCCTGCTTCTCTACTTTTGAATTCTTCAAGAAGGGACTCCAAACAAGTTTCTAATTTCTCATTCAATATCATTGTCTCACTAACACCAAAAGTTTGAGAAATCAATTATTTTATGAATTTCAATTTGTATCTAGGTCCAATACAACAACAATAAACAACAACATATTTAGATTGTTAGGATTCCCCCAATACTCATCATATTTTTTTCTTCATTCTTATAGTCAGTTCTTTCATTCTTGCATCTTTGGATTGATGATACATTTGGTTGATCTTCTTTTCAATTCCAAGAACATCTAACATATACATGTTACTTGTCACATAAGATGAACCAGAAATGCACAAAATAGCTTCATAAAAAATGGTATGATTGAGCATAAATAGTCCCAATCTTCACTTGTAGGAAGACCCTTCCTCTTGTTTAACTCTTCAACATACTTCCTATCTTGCATTTCATGCTCTTCAAATGTTTTTTTGATGTTTTAAAGTACCTTCTAACATAAAAAAGGTTAAATTCTACCTAGTTTCAACATTTAGACAAATAAGACCTTTGTATTCAATTTCTCGTTCAATATATGCCTTAAACTTAATCAATCTAGAAGGAGAAGATCTTATGTATTTCACTGCAGCACGAATTTTTAAAACAAAATCATCAATCTCCTTTAAACCTTCTTTTACAATCAAGTTTATCTTTATTTTTGAGTTGTAAGTCTAATTAATTAGAAAAAAAGTATAAGATGTACCTATTCTTATTTTTTCATTTCATCAATTTCTCATAAGATCTTGACGAATAATCTAACCGGCTTTTTAAAATGTAACTAATCAAATCATCCAATTCAGTTTAATTTTATTAATCATAAGATTTAGCCTAATGGTATATTGACAAGAAGAAAACACATCAAGTTGATTCTTGTACAATAGTTGGATTTTAAAAAAATGAAAAATTGGTGTTAGAATTTGTGATAGTTTAAGACATTGTGTAATAGTCAATAAATAACATGAAAAATTTGTTTGCTTATTTAAAAGCTTAATATAATAATATTATTAATTTTTATTATATTTTTATTTTTATCTATTTTTAAATTCTTTTTATGTGTGGAAGATACAACTTTTTACATTAAAGAATGAAAGAAAAAAATTCATGATTTGATTGTCAAGTGGTTACTAATTATGGAAAATGATTCAATATTT